CGGGTAACGCTTCTGAATGACCCGCAAAGCGCATTGCAACATCTTCAATGTTGCGGAGGTGAAAGGGTATGTAGCAAGACGACAGAAGATCTCATGATCGTTCATGGTGATGATACATAGCGTGACGAAGCTTCGGTCAGTTGTCTAGATCTCGTGTTGAGCCTTATACATTCTAGCCATCCAACTTGTGTCCATAATTTGCTGTTGAAGCCTTGCGCTGGAAGCATTCTCAAGGTCGCCGGATATTGCCGTTTACATGGCTAGGAGCGGCTTTTCTCATTCATTCGCAACGTAAACAGGCTTTTGTTTGACTCCTCGCAACAATCATATGTAAGCCATCTGCCGTAGATGGGCCTGATGTCTGGATACCAGAAGCGCCTCTGCCGCCGCTCATCGGTCTCCGTTTCCGAGTGGGTACTTTGACACCACTTCCTGCTATATAAGGGTAGAGGCCCTTTGGATCCGACTCGAAATTTGCGTCTTGATAAGTTCTCGTTACTCTTCACCCGTACTTCTTGCACAATCCTCTACTTTTGTCTTTCAATATGCCTCCGTACGTCCATCGTCCGCAGAGCGTTCATTCTGGAGAGCTAGGAGATGATGCCCTCGGCCAAAACCCACCCCAATGGAAGCCCTCACGGCATCATCTCGCCATCATGGCGACGGCCGCCTTGTTGTCGCTCATGGTCGCCCTTGACGCCTGTGTCATTGTGACCTCTTTGCAGGTTCGATATCCTCCCAAACACTTTCCATCCTTGGCATGCTCATAGTCATAGGCTATCGTTGTAGACCTCGAGCTCAGCACGTACGACGGCTTTTGGATAGGCACGGCGTACCTCCTAGCCAACGCCGTGCTGATGTTATTCATAGCGGATCTGAGCCACGTGTTCGGTCGACGGCCATGCCTGACCATCTCGGTCGCTTTCTTCACTCTAGGCACGGTCTTCTGCTGCGTATCGCGTTCCATCGGCTTGATATTGGTGGGGCGGTCTCTCCAAGGCATCGGCGGTGCTGGCATCATCGTCTTATGCCTGTTGATTTTCACCGACTTTGTCCCTTTGCCGGTCC